GTGTCTTAATGTGTCATGGTCCAGCCAGTAGCAGTTTCAGAGAGCTTTGGTTTGGGGACAAGTTCTCTGCTTTGGCAAGAGCCAGAATGACTGAGGTGGCCACCGTCAGCCCCAAATCAGCTTTCCTTCAAGCTGCTTTTCAGTATTCTCTGTAACCACCTCTAAGGGGCACGGCCCATATGTGGCTGCCTCCTAAATTTCTGGTGAAGAATTCAAATGTCAAAAATCTGGCACTGGCAGGAGTTCTGCAGGCAAGAGGCACCTCCTGTCCCACTCACCAAGGACCCTTTTGAACTTTGAGTTTCACCCAGACCACTGGAAGCAATGGAATTAAAGTCAAGCACTCCATATTCCACACATTGACCCCTAGACCTGCTAAGCTGGGTGGCCAGAGTTCAGCATTTAGACTCAGATGTATTTGTCATTGAATGTATTACCATCAGTTCTTATTTAACTTAAATAGCATTGCATGTAAAAGAGAACAACCTGGGTCATAGTCAGGAGCAACAAAAAATAACTTCATCCTGTGAAAAAGAAGAAAAAGAAGGAAGGAGGAAAAAGAAAGAAGAAAAAGAAAGAGGGAAAAGAGGAGAGGAGAGGGAAGGAGGAGGGGGAGGAGGAAAGGGAGGAAATTAAGTCACCATCCTTTTTTTGAAAATACATTCAACAATTGTTCTATGAATGAATGGATGGATGGATGGATGGATGGATGGGCAAATGAATACAGGAAAACCTGCATGTGCAGACCTTTTTCCTGTAAGGAAAAATCCAGCCATCTCCCTCCACCTCAGCCCCAGGCCAGTCAGCCTGCCCATGCAGAAGTGGTGGGTTTCAGAGTCCGAATGAAGCTCACCTGGCCCTGAACTGATTTTGATAAGTAGACCTTCTGGATGGTTAAAAGATACATGACAATGGTGACAACAAAATCCTGTCACTTTCAAAATGCCTAATTTGTCAAAACATATTCTCTCAATTAATGTAAGCCAACTTTTCCTCCTTCCCTCCTTGTCACTCAGACATAATCAATGGGAATAATCATAGAGATTACTTTTTTTATTTTTTTTGTTAATCCTCACTTCCCCCCATTGATATTTAGAGAGGGGAAGGGAGGGGTGGGGGAGAGAAACATTGATGCCAGAGAGACACATCAATTAGCTGCCTCCTGCATGCACCCCAACCAGGGCCAAGGATCAAACCCACAATCCAAGTACATGCCCTTGATCAGGGATGGAACCTCGACCCCTCGGTGCATGGGCCGACACTCTACCCACTGAGCAACATGGGCCAGGATGAGATGACTTTTGCTTGCTTATCCCATTCCTATTTTTCTCCTCTCTGGATATGTTTAAGGCAAGAAAGACGAACACTAACAACAAGTTTAAAAACTCTTTAGAAGAAAGCTTCTTCAACTGGGGTCCATGAACCACTTAAGAAATCCACAGGTAATTTAAAAAGGTTTCTGAATCTCCTAAACTTATATGTAAATTGTATATGTTTACACACGTGTACTTTTCTGGGAAAAGGGTGTAGGACTTTCATTAGGTTACTGAGGGAGTCCCTGATACAACATTCCTTTGAAAGCACTACTTCCTAGCCTGGGGCCCTTTCCTGAGCATACCTTTCCCATGAGCCTCCGGGAAGGAGATGAGTGTTGTGTTTCTAGATTGTGAGCTGAGATGCCTTCTTGCAGGACCAATGAAGCTGGGCCTTGACAAGTGGGCATGAGTTGGGCCAGTGGAGAGGAAGGGCAGGCATTTCATGAGAGGTTCTGGCATGGACAGAGGCACAGAGTGGGGGCACACGAGGCATGTTCAGGCCACAGCAAATGAGCCAACCTGGATGGCTTACAGGAAGGGCCCCAGGAGACAAGGTGAATAAAGAGGTGAATGAATGAATGGTTTGGCTCAGTGGATAGAGAGTTGGCCTGCGGACCAAAGGGTCCCAGGTTCAGTTCCGGTCAAGGGCATGTACCTTGGTTGCAGGCTCCTCCCCGGTCCTAGCCCTGGTCAGGGCATGTGCAGGAGGCAACCAATCAATGTGTTTCTCTCACATCAATGTTTCTCTTCCTTTCCCTCTCTTCCACTCTCTCTAAAAGATCAATGTTAAAATATCCTCAGGTGAGGATTAACCAAAAAAAGAAAAGAGGTGAGCATACCAGCCCCTAAGGAGTGACCCTCATCCTGAAGCACTACGGCATCCCACGAGGGCCAGAGCTTTTTCCAAAGATTGACCTGGTGATGGTGGGGGCCTGGATCAGGGAAGCGGCCAAGCATGTAAAAGAGGCTACTGCAGAGGTCTGCCCGGAAGAGGGTGCCCTGAAATGAAGGTGCCATGTCTGTTTTGTTCACTATCTAAATCCAGGGCGCATCCCAGGGCCAGGACAGGGCAGGTGTTCAGTGGGTGGTGAGCATATGGGTGTGGATGCTTTAAAAGATACATAACAAATGAGGAGTGCTGGTGACGTGGGTGTCCATCTTGGTATCATTCACAGAGCCTAGCGGTGCCTTGCACAGAGTGGATCCTGAAGAAAGGTCCCTTGCATTGGTCTGGACCAGCTTGAACAGACCTGGGAACAAGAGTGGAGGAGTCCCAGCACTCTCCAAGAGGCTGGGATGAGCTGGTTCTGGGGACATCTAGGAGTGATCGCTCAGAGAGCATGTATTTAAAAGGAAATCAAGTCAAAGTGGTTAACACCAAGAACCACCAAAAGCAAGGTGAAAGACCTATTTCTGGTCCTGCCCTGCAAATAAATATTTGTGACACTGAGCCAGTAATGCCCTCAGGCTCTCTTCTAAGGGGCTTTTGAGATAATCCACAGCCTAGCTATACATTTCTATGATCCGACACTTGCTCTCAAATAATCCAAGCAAGGCCCATGAGGCTAATCCTTAACACTTCCTTTCTTGAATTTCAGCATATCCTACTACCCAGTACCCACAGGCAGGGCTCACCTGAGGACTAGACAGCTGTGGTGATTCACGGCCCAGTTGCTCTAAGTCTGTGATCAGCCTTCTGGGTAGCCCGTGGCCTTGGTAATGTCGCCATTCACAATTCATTATGTTACAACAACGAAGTGTTAAACTCTAACAATATAGTTCAATTCTGCAATAAACTTATATTGTCCTTGTATCTACTCTGATTCATACAAACCATACTACTGCTGCTCATTAATCCTGATGAGTCGGGACAGGGAGGGCAAAGAGAAGCGGATAGAGAGGCAGAATTTATGTTCACAATGAGAGGTGACACAGGACTGGTGGCCTCTGGGTCTTCTGTCCAACCAGCACCATGTTAGCATCGAAGAGCCACTTCCTTAAGTTACCTTCCAGTAAAAAGAAACACAGAAGTTGAACAACTGAGCCAGATAACCAAAATGTCCCCTAATTTTTTATGTTAATTTTTGTAATAAATAGCACCTGTTCATCAAATTGGAAAACACTTCAAATCTGGATAGCTGAAGAACGAACCACGTAAAATTAAAGCCCTCCCAATAAAGACTGCGTAAGTCATTCCCCACCACAGTGATTTTGTCTTGGTCATTTCATTGCCATAACATAACTGGGGGGAAGGAGGGGGGGTGTACCTTCTAGGATTCCAAATCAAGTCACACCTACAAAATGTTGATGACCCAGTCATGAGCTGTCAGGGCAGCACCCAAGCCTTCTGGTACAATGTCCATTCAAGCTCCTATGGGAGTGACCTGGATAGACTCAACTGTCATAACTTCACTCTGAATGTTGGCTCTCCATGTACTTGCTCTCCAAGTACAACACAATAAAGAACATATGTGAACGAACCTACAGACTCGTAAGATACATCCAACAGTGCTACGCAGGAAGGATAAGTTATAGACAAAGTTTCAAACACAAGTCTTTCCATCTGTGGGTGGAGAAAGGGTGAGTCTTGGTGGAGCCAGGTCCACAGTCCACCTGTTCATCACATTCATCTTCAGGACAGGAGCTTCCCTTGCCACACAGAACTGCCTCCAGTTGGCCATGGGACACACTTGCTAGAGAAAGAGAGGCAAACAGACCTCCCAAATGATACTGGAGACCAAAAAAAAAAAAGGCTTATCCAGCTTATCCATTCCTATCTTCACCACCACATTCTCATTAGGCATCAAACAGTCCTCTCAAAAATGAATCATCTTAATAATATATGAACAACAAAGTTATCTGTAGAATAAGAATTTCTAACTTAGGGTATCGCAACATTTCTTCCTTGTTCCATAGCCCCTAAATCAAGCATGTCAAACTCAAAGGCTGACACAGCCCAAATAAACAAAGCATGTGGCCCATGGGCCGCGAGTTTGACAGGCTTGCCCTACACAGTTGCTTAAATGGCAAACAGCTTCAAAAACTCGCCCCCTTTATCTCTGTGCATCCTCAGTATTTGAGAATTGTTTTTGCAAAAGCTATATTCATAGAATCTTTCTGAAGTAAAGTACATGAACTTCTCAGAAGAAATTGCTGTCTTTCAAGAAGTGCCTCTTCCACCCCATAATGAATAGTCCTTACCTCGCCAGTCGGTTGTGATCAGAAGCGAAGCTGTTTAGTTTCCAGCTGCAAATCTTAACACTGACTCTATTAGCCCACATCCATGGCTGCCACCCCAGGATCTTCACCCCAAATTTCACTGGAAATGTTTTAAATCAACAAAAACCGTGTCCTCCGAGATAAAGGGCCTCAGTAAATACAGAGTTCATGGGCTCTGAGGGGAGGGTGGGAGTACGGGAGGGAATGAATGGGAGATCCTTAAGAAACATTGAACTTTGTCCTCAGCACTGCTTTCCTCTCACTGGGCAACGACTGAGCACACCAGAAGAGTTGCATTAATAAAACTGCATAGAGTCTACACTGCACAAAGTGCTTTGATGCTAGTAACATGATCCTCTTCCTCCTTCCCCTTTCAATACCTCTTGCAAGGTTTGTTTTCAAACAGACATCACAAGTTGGCTAGCCTCTGCTTCCAAAAATCAATCAAATGTTTTCCGCTTCTCCTCTATTAAGCCCATATTCCTGAACTTTATTCCCACCAAATAAATCAAACTACTTAACACTCAGGAATCAGCAAAGGGCACATCCCAGGGTGCGTTCAGGCAATGGAGGGAAGACGTTTCTGCAGACAGACATAATTAAAGACCATCTGTAGCTGTTGATGATTTGTAAAAATACATCCAAGTTTTTCTTTCAACAAAAGATTTCAATTCAAGCAAGGGCACCAAGAGACATGATGACAGAGTCCTGGCTGAGCCTTTGTGTGTCTCATCTGACCGGCTTTTTGGAGGGACTGCAGTGACTACTGCCTGGATGTGGAATTCCTTTGCCCTCAAATCTTCAAATGTATGAAGAGCACAATAAAGAATAAAATGTTGTGTTTATGTCACACCTCTTCCCAGAGGTTTAAAGCGCCACAAGGAACCCATGAATCCTCACAACACCCCTGTGAGGTAGGTAGGTGGAGAGCATTGTTATCCCCACTTTACAGGTGGGGGGAATGAGGCACACAAGAATTAAGAGACTTGCCCAAAATCACACAGCTGGTCCCTGGCAGGGCTTAGGATACAACATGTACTGATTAGCACCTAGCACAGTGCTTTGCACATAGTAGGTGTTCACTGAATATCTATGGATTTTATTTAACTTATACTTCAACGTCCAATATACACGCATAAAATACAGCCACAGGACATTCATCTCCTACATTTTTCTTCTGATGACATCTCTCATTCCTTCAAACCCTGGTGGATGGGGGATGTTCAAGAATTCATCTCACAACGAAGCCCGCAGGTTGGAGAGGATCCACATACACCATCGGAGGAAAACCTGCCCTTGCACCTGGTCTACCTCACAATATTAGTTTTCTAATGAAAACAAAAATGGATTTCAGGAACCATGCTGACATTTTGTTTGTTTGTTTGTTTGCAATGGAGCCATCTGAACGGTTCTGTGTTTTTTGTGTACAAAAGAGAAATAAGGCTGCTCTCGTCCAGTCGCTTGTGAGAAGGGTGCCAGGCACGGAGACCTCTTCCCGGCTCCGGTGGATTTCTGCCTGGGCACCCAGACCGACCCAGGCAGCGGCAGCTCCAGCAGGAAGGGCCCACGAGGCTGTGTCACTTGCACGGCTCGTGCTCTGTGTAGTCGTCCATGTCCACATCGGAATCAAAGAGCGAGTGTCCAGTGAAATCCGTGTCTGGGGTTCTGGAAAAGCTGTTCTCTGCTCCCTCGTCCTCGAAGGTCTCTGTCCTTGAGTAAAGGCTGAAATCCAGCAGAGGGGTGTGGGTCTTGCTGCCCTCGCTGCTCTCCTCCGACTCGTAGATGGTGTTGTCGTCATCGTGGTGCCACTCGGGCCAGAACTTCCTCCGGATCCTCTCGCAGTACATGGCCAGGTTGATGAGCTCACCTGCAGGGTGGCAAGGACAGCCAGGGTTAGCTCTCAGGGGCCGCAATCTGCCCGCTCTGGGCTTTCTGGACAATGTGGGAGAATGGGGCGGGGTAGATATTAAAAACGTTTTCAAGCCTGGCCAGCATGGCTCAATGGCTGAGTGTCGACCTATGGACCAGGAGATCACAGATCAATTGCCGGTCAGGGCACATGCCTGGGTTTTGGGCTCAGGTCCCCAGTAGGGGTCATGCAGAAAGCAACCGATCAATGATTCTCTCTCATCAGTGATCTCTCTCTCTCTCTCTCTCTCTCTCTCTCTCTCTCTCTCACTCTTCCTCTCCTTCCTCTCTGAAATCAATCAAAAATACTTTAAAAAAAATTTCCCCACAGAGGCACTGTCAAAATGTTTAGACTTTCTACACATAATAAGAAAGGTGAGTGGGAAAAGGTAAATTCAGTGAGGGGCTAGATGAAATTTAGGAGTGAGTTTTATGGTGATGAGAAATTGGGGATGGATAGTTTATCTGAAATGGCAGTTACACTACCATCATTTGGCTTTGTGAAGCATTTTATTATTTTATGTTTGCTTCAACTGGTTCATATGTAAATTAATTTATAGTCCATGAAAATACACCAACTGTCAATTGGATTAAACCAGCCAGAGGTAATCATTCATTCCATAAATATTTGTAGAGTTATTACGGGCTGGGCACTATGCCAAGTGGTTAACAAATGTGATGTTAGGATGGAAACTTTGCTCTAAATAATCCGTCAAATGGATAACTCAGAATTGTCTCTATGGATGAGTGTACCCAGAGTAAAGTAGATTTTTTTTTCATTTTTTAAATTAAATTCCACAGCAGCACCAACAATTGGGTTCTCATTCAGTGACTGGACCACTTCTTTTCCATCTGAATCAAAGAAACATGGTTAAATTGCTAAAATCATCCAGGCATTTGTCTGAAACACAACACAGCATTTGGCTTTCCTTTCCTAATTTCAAGTGAGGAAGGAACAGGGTGAGTTTTTGCCTTTAATCCACCAGATGGCAACATTGCTTATAAATATGTAATTTGTCACTGTCTTATAGAACTTCATTGCCCTAAAAATAGTCTTAGGATGTTTACTTTTTAAAAGTTATCTAAAGCTCGACCAGCATGGCTCAGTGGTGGAATGTCGACCTATGAACCAGGAGGTCATGGTTCGATTCCTGGTCAGAGCACATGTCAGGATTGCAGGCTTGATCCCCAGGAGGTTGTGCAGGAGGCTCCTGATCTATGATTCTCTCTCATCACTGTTTTTATCTCACTCTCCCTCAATAAAAATATATTCACCTATAGGGAAGGCAGGGAGTGAGGGGTAAGAGATCAACCAAAGGACTTGTATGCATGCATATGAGCATAACCAATGGACACAGACCCAGAGGTGGGGGGAGGGCATGTGCTGGGGGTTGGAGGCGGCCGGGGAGAGGTCAATGGGGGAAAAAGAAGATTTATGTAATACATTTAACAATAAAGAATTTAAATTAAAATATATATATATTTAAAAGTTACATAAACATTCACTTATTGTATAGGTGGGTAATCCATATTTTATTGCAAAAAATAGACAATATAGATAAAAAAATAAAAGAATTATCAATAATCCCATTTTCCATAATATTTTCATTTACATTCTTCCAGAATTTTATATAGTATTTATATATATTTACATTTGCTGTATGACATTTACTATATATTTTGTTTCCTATCCTACTTTTTTCCACTTAACATATAATTAAAATCTTTCAATTTCACACTATCACCAATTGATAATTGCATAGTATTTCGTTATACAGATGTACCATAGTTTCATTTTGTTATTACCAATCTCCTATCACAGGACAATTAGGTTGTTTCTGTATAAATAGTCTATTAATTATAGTCTATAACTACTCTTTTATTTTCTATCAAAAAACAACATGTTCCCATTTTGGAAAATTAGAACTATGTATAGAGAAACTATAAATCATAAAAAGGAAAACACAAAGGATCTATAATCTTATCAATCCAAGATAACCACAATTAACATTTTGGTGTCATTTCCCCCAGTATTTTTTCCTATTTATTTATTGGCATTATTATTACTTAACTGTTACTTCCTATTAGCATTAATGCAAATGTTTCCCATGTCATTAAAATTTTTCAAATATTTTTTAGATTTTTTTTTTATTGATTTCAGAGAGGAAGGGAGAAGGAGAAACATCAATGATGAGAGAGAATCATCTATCGGCTGTCTCCTGCATGCCTCACACTGAGATCGAGCCTGAAACCTGGGTAGAGCGCTGACCAGGAATCGAACAGTGATCTCTTGATTCATAGGTTGATGCTCAACCACTAAGCCACCACACCAACTGGGCAAAATTTTTCAAATCTTGATTGCTATTCTGCTTTTAAATAAACACATATTCCCTACAAAGCACAATAAAGCAAATCTCTCTGCTTCATGAAGCCTATAAACCAACTAGAATCCTGGTGCACGAAATTCATGCATGGGTAGGGTCCCTAAGCCTGGCCAGCGATCAGGGCTAATCTGTGGGGCGACAGGCAGGGCAATTAGGGGGCCCCTGCTGGCACCTGCCCTGGCCAGCCTAGAGCCTGCAAGCTGGAGGCAGCTCCTGTGTCTTCCCCTGGTGGTCAGTGTGTGTCATAGCAACTGGTCGTTCCACCAGCTGTTCCACTGTTTGGTCTATTTGCATATTAGGCTTTTATTATATAGGATGTTCTTGTATTGGTTCCAGGGTACAATTTTCAGTCCTATCAGATCATAATAGCTCAATTCACACTGTGTAAGAGTCCATTCGGATCACTCCCTACTCAAAGATTTTTATGTACACACTAAGGAGCCAGAAGCAGAAAAGCCAACCTCACTGTTCCCTTTGGAAAGACATCCAAAACCTTCACCTGTTTTCTCCCGAAAAGAAACAGTCCTGAGACACACCTCACCGGGTATTGCTGCCAACCACAGGTAACCAAGGGTTGGATAAAGATGGGGAGGCAGCAGCAAGGAGGTGGTGGGGAAACACCACAAATGACTTATGGTCACTTCACAGCAGGCCCTGGGGACAGCCCTGTTTGCCTTAATCAAGTGCATTCCCTAGGAGCTGTGAGAAAGTCATAATCTGGTCACAAGAGCCACAGGATCTACACCATCCATGAGTCTATCCACTTCTTTGTGGCTGTTCTTTCTACAGCCTGTTTCTTATCTTCCTTCCCAAGACCTGCCCCCTTCGTGACTGTGCAACATTAATAGCACTTCACTGGTCAATAATAAAAGTTAATAAAAATAGCAAATACATATATAGTCCTTACTGGCTATCAGGCACTGTTTGATGTGCTTTTTTCATTTGTTGAAGTCATATTGACTCTCTTAGTCCTTGCAAAAATGCTTATGAGGCAGGAAGCATTATTATCCCTATCTGTAATGGGAAAACTGCAACAGAGAGGTTAATTACCTTGACTAAGATCAAGTTCCAGATAGTGGCAGAGCCAGGATTCAAACTCCAGCATTCCCCAGGCTCCAAGCCCTTCACTATGACTCTACTCTGCCCCTCTACTGGGGACCTGACAGCCTGGCCTGGGAATTAACAGCTTTGCACCATCTGTCACAGAATATTTTTCTGTAATTCTTTCTGAGGTCTCAAAGAATTATAAGATGCTGCCTTCAAAATGACTTGTCATGAAGGAAGTGATTATTCTATCATGCAGTTAAGAAAGGGTCTGCTCTGATAAGCAAGGACTGGGAGCTCACACACCCATCCTGATAGAGTGAAAATCTGTAATTAAGTTCTACCTTTATCTCTCTTTGCCAATCCTTCCTGTGCCCAGATTTTCCATCAGTGAACCCACTCAACATGCCTACCAGCCAAAAGAACAGAAAAACTTGGCAGTAGAAACAGGTTGTATGTAGTTAGAAGGAAAGAGGGAGAGGGGGAGAGAGAAAGAGAGAGAGAGAGAGAGAGAGAGAGAGAGAGAGATGACTAAACATAAATGCTTATAATTGAAGATGCAAACTTTGTGAAACAATAAGAAAAGTACATTTTCAAAGTGTACTCAACAATCAAATAACAATTTCATCCACTGGTAAATACTAAAGTCTGAACATCAATGTAGAGGTCAGGCACTGTACTACACGGCTGGTGGAAGTCTAAATTGCTATAACCTTTCTTGCAAAGTAATCTGATGTTGTCTGTTGAAATTTTAAACGTACATGGCAGACCACCTTTAGTAGTCTATTCTACTAAAATAAGAGTATCAGTATGTAAAGCTACATGTATATGGATGTTGAATACAGAATTGTGTCAATAAAAAAAGAAAGATAAGAAAGATGAAAAGAGTTTGAGTGTCCATCAATAGAACTGATTGATAAAGTATGGTGTATAAATTCTATAGAATAATGTACAAATGTGTTAAAGAGATATGATAGTGTATTAAGTTAAAAAAATCAAGTTATAAAGTAATATGCACAATGTAACTGTTTTAAAACAGTAAAAACAAATCAAAACAGCTATATATATACATGTAAATAAGTTTGTAGATTTAAAAAAAAGAAAGACACAGAGTATTGACTCCAAATCCTTAATACTGGTTATTCCTTGGGGGATGGTATTGGATATGGATGAGGGGAGGTCAAAAATCTTTGAAAATATCCCTGTATTTTTCAACTTATTGTGACAATCATGTATTACATTTTTAATTTAAAAATGAATAAAATAAATTAGTAAAATACTAGTGAGTAATCAGTGATACTCACAAACACCTAGACAGGATATTCATCAGAAAGCCAAATGGCCCTCTAACCGGAGCACACTCCCAGACAGAACAAAGAGCTCTTCTCTGGGAGTTTCTCCTACGGAACTATCCCCCACCATTCCTTTTATTTTCCCGTGTCACTCCAATTTCTCTAATATTCAGAGGCATTCTGTACAGTTTGACACTGAAGAGATTGGCAACCACACCCAGAACCCAGGCCTCGGTTTC